CAAAGTAGTGTTTTACACATATGAGGAATTTGCTGTGGTGATTAAGGTGCTGCACGTAGACAAACATACAGTCAACATAAATAAATGTAGAAATATATAAATATGGAAGAACAACGTTACAGATATTTACATGTGCATTATTCTGGGTCTGTGCCGTGCAGAAGCAACGCAACAGAAGAGATTATTGTGTACATATAAATATATAAACTGACAACATAAAAATATACAACAAGAAAGATCAACAATCAACAACAAATATGTGCGATGTGCCAGGTCTGTGCTCGACACGAGATGAAACAGTATTTACATGTGCAGAGACATTTGTATCATTTGCAAGGGGGGAGTGTCAGTGGGGGACCCGGGCTTTGTTAATGAGGCTGCAGACGGAAAGAAACTGTTTTCAGAGACATGTTTTCCCAGCTTCACGTGCTGCTTCCTGTCCGTCAGGATGGTGGAGTCAGGCACGTTCAGCTGAGAGAGCTTGTCCTGCAGCAGGGCCGGGATGATGGTGTTAAAAGCAGAGCTGAAATCCACAAACAGGATCCTGGCGTAGGTTCCTGGGGAGTCCAGGTGTTGGAGGATGTAGTGAAGGGCCATGTTTACTGCATTATCCACAGACCTGTTGGCTCTGTAGGCGAACTGCAGGGGGTCCAGGAGAGGGTCTGTAATGGATTTAAGGTGGGACAAGGACTTCATAACCACAGAGGTAAGAGCGACGGGTCTGTAGTCGTTTAGTCCAGTAGTCCTTTCTTTGGGACAGGGATGATGGTGGAGGCTTTGAAGCAGGCTGGCACACGGCATGTCTCCAGTGAGGTGTTAAAAATGTCTGTGAACACCGGAGACAGCTGATCAGCACAGTGCTTCAGGGTGGATGGGGAGACAGAGTCCGGCCCAGCTGCTTTGCAGGGGTTTCTGCCTCCTGAAAAGACCGTTGACTTCCCTCTCTGTGATGGAGAGAGGAGGGGAGGGGGTGGAGCTGGCCAGCTCTGAGGAGGGAGGGGAAGAAGTGGTGGACTGAGGCTGAAGCTGAGCGGAGGAGTCACGGGGGACGGTGTCCAATTGACTCTCAAAGCGGCAGTAGAACTGGTTCAGATCATTTGCCAGGTGAGAATCGTTTATGGAGTGGAGGACTTTTGGTTTATAGTTTGTGATCTGTCTGAACCCCCTCCAGACAGAAGTGGTGTAGTTTGCAGAGAACTGGTTCTTTAGTCTCTCTGAGTACAGCCGTTTAGCTTCTCGCACCTCCCTGCTAAACCTGTAGTTTAATGCCCTGCATCCGGCCCTGTCTCCACTCCTAAATGCCTCCTCCTTTTCCAATCTCAGCTGTCTGAGCTTAGCTGTGAACCAGGGTTTGTCATTGTTATAACTCACCCTGGTGCGTGTTGGTATACATGTGTCCTCACAGAAGCTGATGTAGGACGTCATAGCCTCTGTAAACTCATCCAGATTGTTGGTAGCAGTCCTGAAAACGTCCCAGTCAGTGCAGTCCAAACACGCCTGGAGGTCCTCAACAGCTTCACTAGTTCACTTCTTTAAAGTCCTCACTACAGGTTTACAGAGCTTTAGTTTTTGCCTGTAAGCAGGAATCAGATGTGTCCCAGTGGAGCACATGTGACGGCGTGATAGGCACTGCTAACTGTGGTGTAGCAGTGATCCAAAGTGTTCCCCTCTCTGGTTGGACACTTTATAAACTGTCTGTATTTGGGGAGTTCTTGGCTGAGATTTCCCCTGTTAAAGTCACCGAGAACAATAACAAGGGAGTCCGGGTTTGTCTGCTCCACACAGAGTCACAGAATTAACTTTCATGAAATGAAAACACCAACACCACCCAAAAACAAGTTCACGGCTGGTTAAATTTACACAGTGCAGTGGAAACGACTCGCCTGATGGTGACTTGTCAGTTCACCAGTTAGGAAGGTTAGAAGATTTGTTTATAGCTAGCAATAACCAAACGTAATCAAAAATGACAAGTAATGCCAGAAACATGGAACACAATGGAAGCATTCAGAAAACTACAAGAACAACAGATGGTCTCATAGTGTCCCGTCCATCGTCAGTGGGTAATTAGACGATGTGAAGATGCGGCCAGAGGGAACCAATAGGGACATATTTTACAAACCTTACTTCGACCTGTCTGAAAGAGTTGATGGAGCCTAAGTGTAGGCTCAGGTACTGTTACACACAGAGGGGGATTTCAGCCATTGGGTACTAACGTTACTAGTTAGCACCCAGGGATCAGTGGCTTGGTCGCTGGTTCGGGAAGGTCGTGTAGCCACGCAGCCTCCATATTATGAAAGGTAAGACTATCTAGATAATAAGCACATTGTTGTTATTATTATCTCACAACGTTTGTGTTTTGAACAGACATATGTTATTAATGTATAAACCTAACAAATTGATGTGTGTTTGTGACACACACAGCTGCTGACCTGATGACCATCTGCATGCTATAGTATAAGATATAGTATCTTAATTTATCTAGATAAAGTATCTTGTCAAATCTCTTGGAGGTCAGGCAAATATATATAAAAGGTAAAGTAAGGTTTTTTATCTGTAAATAAAGTCTAATCACTATGAACTGATATAAGGAAAAAGATATCTAAACATCACGTGTAATATTAATGCATATGATTTTGAAAAACTGTGACCGTTTGTAATTAATTAATTTTATTTTTACAGTGTAAAAACTCACCCATGTAATATGTTGTAAGAAGTAAATATTGTTTTGAGGGAGCTAGACACAGCATCTTCTGGCCTTCATGTACAGATTATATTTCACCATTGAACTCTCACATGTAATAAACCAAGATGGAATTAATTTACAAATTTGTGGATGGGACTTATTAATCACAGTTCAGAGTTCATTACTTTAAGGTTTAAGGGGAATCTACAGAGCTCACCTTGTTTGGGTCTACAAAAAATAACTATTTACTGCCAGGTAGCATCTATTTCTCTGAAATGTTGTTCACAAATCTGTCAAAATCTGTGTTAGTGAGCACTTCTCTTTTGCTGAGATAATCCATTCACCTCACAGGTGTGGCATATCAAGATGCTGATCAGACAGCATGGGGATTGCACAAGTGTGCCTTAGGCTGGCCACAATAAAAGGCCTTAGGCTGGCCACAATAAAAGGCCTCTCCAAAATGTGCAGTTTCACTGTATTGGGGGGGTCCAGAAACCAGTCAGTATCTGGTGTGACCACCATTTGCCTCATGCAGTGCAACACATCTCCTTCGCATAGAGTTGATCAGGTTGTTGATTGTGGCCTGTGGAGTGTTGGTCCACTCCTCTTCAATGGCTGTGCGAAGTTGCTGGATATTGGCAGGACCTGGACACGCTGTCGTATACGCCGATCCAGAGCATCCCAAACATGCTCAATGGGTGACATGTCCGTTGAGTATGCTGGCCATGCAAGAACTAGGATGTTTTCAGCTTCCAGGAACGTATACAGATCCTTGCAACATGGGGCCGTGCAGTATCATGCTGCACCATGAGGTGATGGTCTCGTCACGGTATCTCTGTGCATTCAAAATGCCATCAGTAAAATGCACCTGTGTTCCAGCCGGTTGGATGTTCTGCCAAATTCTCTGAAACGCCTTTGGAGACGACTTATGGTAAAGAAATGAATATTCAATTCACGTGCAACAGCTCTGGTGGACATTCCTACAGTCAGCATGCTGATTGCACACTCCATCAAATCTGTGTCATTTTGGAGTGGCCTTGTATTGTGGCCAGCCTAAGACCTTTTATTGTAGCCTGCCTAAGGCACACCTGTGCAATCCCCATGCTGTCGTAACCTTATGCAATTCTACCCATATATGCTGACAACCTGTTCAGCACCAGACGTGGCTTCTTTACCGGAGCATCTTAGCCGAGAAGTTCAGTCGACTTCCAGTCCATGAAATGGAATGAACCGTAGGTATGAACACATGGGCGCCGTGCGCTTCAAGTTTAGTGCCTTCAGCCATAAGTTGGCTTCAAGGGCTCCTCTTCTTTAGGTGGTAGGTGTAAGTTGTAAAATGCACGACTACACTCTGACCACTTCACATTATGCTCGTAACATTTTGTGTGCAATTGTTCTCGCCTCTTGAAACTGAAAATATAATGTTTATCTTTTCTCGGTTATCGTCTAACGTTACAGCTAGCAGCCAGCTTAGGTCCCGCTCCGCTGGAGGTAGGATGACAAAACAAACGCAATGGTGTCATCCTTGTTGTCGTGGAAAGTAAGGTGAATATCCTAATTTTGACTCAGTAAGTCAACAGTTGGCTTTAGTTTTGAGCTCCACCTCTCACACACACACAGTCAGTGTGTGTTGGCTCAGGCTCAGCCATGTCAGCAGCGCTATGGTTTGCCCTCAGTTTAAACTCCTTCATCTGCTGCTTCACTCAGATATCAGGTGTTCAGATCTCCTGTCCGTGCGTCACTTAAACACTGTGACAGACATGAAACTCTCCGGCTTCAAGCAAAGCCACAGGGGTCAAAATGAGGACGTGGTTTCTCAAAATGTTGATTTAGTAAGGCAACATTATTGTTTGCAGTGTTTGGTTCTGAATATCTGTAAATGAGCTCTGTATGGACTCGTCTCTATGGCTGATTTATGTAATGCTGTGCTTGCAGGTTAACTGATTATAGATGCTTGTGCAGACTAGTGGGCTTTCTTTTCCAAAAAAGATCCTAAAACTTATCAACACTAAATGTTCTTGCTTTCAGAAAATGCTCTTATTTGTCTAAAAAATGTCCCACAGAAAACGTCTTCCCTTGTTATAAGTGTCAATGACAAGTTTCAAAAATAGAAAAACTTACATTTTAAGAAATATTTTGAAAAAATGTCTTCATTGTTTCACTCCGGAGATCTGAAACCAAAATGTGTCCTCACAAGGACAGATGCACAAATCTGTCAACCAGCGACACATTCAGCCACCCATACCAACCCACACAACCCAAACCGCCAACACACTAACACATACACATTTTTGGACCCCCGCCCCCCACCGTGAAGCCTTTAAATAGAGCTCCTCTGCAGCTCTTCGGCCTCGGTGATCGCATCCCCGCAGCTCGTCTTCACAAGTTCTCCTCAACCCTCAACCAAGGTAGATATCAACACACACACAAAGTCTTTTTATATCCCTTTAAATTTTTAATTACTGACTATAAAACCGCTCAAAATAATGTTAAAAGCCCACAAACATCTGCTGCAATCAGTTCTCTGTTCCTGCACAACGTGTCTGCATGCAGCACATGTGCAGCCGGTGCGTTCAATGACCAAACCAGAGACAGGTGATCATTGTGTGTCTGCTTTGACACAGAAATAAGTATCAGTTCTTTGGGCTTACATTTTAATCTTGTGAAATGATGTTCAGATATCATTAGAATAATTCCGATTTTTGAATGAGCATACAGTATTTGTAGTTCTGCTTTTATTTTTAAGAATGGCACAAAGATTAAGAACAAAATAACTGCTGTTTTTGACATCTGAGTGCAGATTTGAATCAGTTTTCCTGAAGTTGAACGCATGCATTTAGGTAACAACTACAAACTTTAGACCTGCTGAAAGCAGCTATAACACTTTCCTAATCTTTCCTACTTTACAGGTTTACAGAGAGTGATTATACAACTTAAAGGCTTTGAAATATATCTGTATCTTTAGTTATTTCTGCCAAAGACGTTCCAACACTGGAAAACATCACATTTCTTAAGTGACTGTAAATACAGTGATGGATTCAGAAACCATGTGCTTTAAAACAGCTCTTATCTGCACTCACCAACCCCCTCCCCTGATTGGTTCCTTCCCTGGTGTGTCTGTGTGCATGAATGAGCTGCTAGACACCTTTTTAGGTAACACTTTATACATGAGGTATCTTGTTATGTGCAGGAATTATTTTTCCTTTCATTAGAAGTCACACCAAAAACCTTGAACCTAGCTCTGAGAGCTCAAAGCACTGCGATTAAAGGAGCTTTACACTTTGCACAACTTACAACAACCACCCAAAATAAGGACAAAACATAAATTTACTGTTTAATTTCTTTGTATTTCCTTTTCTTGTGTTTTGAATCTTTGCAAATGTTTTTTTTTTTTTTCTCTGGCTGCAGGCGTGTTTAGTTTGCAAAATAGACATTTTGGCCATCCAAAGAGTTCGTCCTGGAGGGAGCATGACTGTGCTCAGTAAATTCAGTGGAAATCTGCCAGTTAGATTTAGATGTTGGTGCTAGAGGAAAAGTAAGGAGGGTCATGTGTCACAACGCCTGTGTGACCTCACGCTGCCCACAGGACAAAAAAGGGCACAGTGAATGATTCGCTTTGATAAATCAGCAGAACTTAACCTCGATATGTGACCCTGAACCCTAATTATACTCTTAGAGACGCCACCCCTGAAGTTTCTGAATGTACAGAATAGCTTCCTCAGGGTTCCTCAGCTCTCTCCTGCCAGAGCCAGCTGCCCCCACTGCATATCAGCTTCACATGAACGGATACCAACCGGCAGTAAAATTAGACAGCCGGGCAGCCGAAGCTTTGTCCAGACTTTATGAGCCGGTGTCGTCTTGCAGTGGATGGTTGTCCGTGCTGAGAGAGAAGAAAACGTTGTCCAAAAAACTCAGAAGCAGTTTTGATTTCACATTCAGGAGGAAATGCGATGCTACAAAGCCGACCAATCACAATTATTGTTGACTAAAGGTAAATAAAAATTACCTTTAGAAAGTAGAGATTTAAATGTGGACATCACGCAACACCTTCTGAACATCTACACACTGATAAAAAACTTTTTCCACATCAAGGACTCCTAAACTGAGACATATTAGACCACGGACGCCCATCTCATAGGAGTTTTGCTTGTTTTATTACAGAAAGTGTACAAAACTCCCAAAGAAATTTAAATCTTCTTTAAATATTCGGGCTTTTGTTTGGTTTATTTCAATCACCTCCAAAATAAATCCAAACTGATTCTATCCGCAGTAAATCTGTCAGTTACATGTAAAATAAACATCCTGTTTCGTACTTCAGCGTTCTGTATTAATCTGTCCTGAAATTTAGTAGTTTAATGCTTCAGTTTTTTTCATCTGGGAAATAAATGCAAATTGGACATCATTTTAGAGACATGCAGATGTTTTAGGTATTTACTTTCCCAAAGTCAGGCGGTGACACATGTGTAAAATATGTTTTACAGCTTGGGTCTGATTTGACGAATCTTCTCGGTTGTTTGGAAACGAGTAGATTGGACATTTTTAGTTCCTGTGGTTCAGTAGTTCCTGCACACTTTTAGGTCAGCAAAGGCTCCAGGAGAGGGGGGACAGATCGTCTCTTCCTCAGACCTTCGGTGACTCTGCAGAGCCGCGGTTAGCATGTTAGCATGACGTCCAGCTTCAGCAGCGTCCGTGTTCATGTGTTCATGAATTAGAATCTCAGTCCGACACAAACAGACCACAGGGACGTTTCAGCTCGTAGACGACGTGTGTGCTGCTGCAGGTCAGGAAGGATTTTAAGCCTGTATGATGATTTGGTGACCAGGAGCTGATAGTAGAGATGGATCACTTTGAGGATAAAGGTTCACGCTGTGATTCGCTCTGAACTTCAATCCCTTTCATCCCATTTGAACTTCTTTTATTATCTGAGCGCCAGTGTTGTTCATTTTTCTTCTTCTGTGGTGCTGCGTCTGCAGCCTTCTCTCAGCAGAAATGGAGCGTACCTTCATCGCTGTGAAGCCCGATGGCGTCCAGAGAGGACTGTGCGGCGAGATCATCAAGCGATTCGAGCAGAGAGGCTTCAGGCTGGTGGCTGCCAAATTCGTGCAGGTAAACATTTTTTTCAGGGACTCAAAAACAAACACAACATAAAGCAAAGATCAAAAGGAAAAAATCCTACTTCTTCACAGACAACTGTAGTAAAAGTACTCCACTACAAGCATTTAAAAAGTATTATCAGCAACATGTACTTTACAGTATGAATGTACTCATGTTGCAGTAAAATCTTCTATTATACCTGATGTTTGTCCCTTAATACCGATATGAGTAACCCAGAACAAACAGGAAGTGGAGGTGTTGCAGATATAGACGCCAGCAGTGCCACCAGAGGGGTTTTAGACCTCAAAAGAATCAGTGGGACTGACTTCAGGGTATATCTTCATTAACCATAATCTTTTCTCACTCCTCAGTCCTCAGAGTCTGATGATTGGTCCTCACTAAGCTAGATGTACAGGAACACACACTCAGATAGCAGCTGTTGGCTGAAGGACTCGTGTCACTGTCACACACTCAGCTGTCAGGCGTGTTAATCCCACAGTGGCGTGAGCTGGAGTCGTTATCCACAGACACTAGAGAATGAACTCAAGCTGAGGTTCAAGATAAATTAAAAAAATAAAGAGATTTCCACCATCTGAACGTCTCACTGCTGCATTAGGACGCTCAGATTTAATTTTGCTGGTGATGATCTCACCAGACTTTTGGGTAGATGTAGTTTGTATACAAACGTACTTCACCATTTTATATTCTTTCATATATAATACACCAGTTATGGCACTTTCAGGGCTTCATTTCCTTCCACTGCTGCAGAATCACTCTAAGTGGTTATATATTGATATAATATATATAATTGTAAATCTCTGAAACGTACATTATTTCTCAGTTTTGCTGACCTAAACTTTGTCTTGTCTTTACCTTCTTTGGTTATTCTGCAGCAGTGGAAGTAAACATATTTATACAGTAAACACCTTGAAACAGCCTGTTAATTCACCCTCAGAAGCTTTATGAGTACTATATTATATATAATATTAATGAGTGCAGAAAGAGCAGCTGGTCATCAGGTGATCCTACAGTGGAATAACAAACAAAATTTATTCATTTAATTGTTAATTTTATATCTGAAAATGTCTGTCTTGGTGATGTAAACATTTTTAACTTTGGTAGTTTGCTGCTTACTTTTAGTGGAGTATAAAGTACAATATTTACTATAAAGTAGCATTAAAACGGAAATACTCCAGTAAAGTACCTCTTCGGTACACGCATTTAGTAACTTTGCACTGCTGTGTGTTTGTATTTTATGTTTAGGCCTCTGAGGACCACATGAAGAAGCACTACCTGGACCTGAAGGACATGCCTTTCTACGCTGGACTCTGCAAATACATGTCCTCTGGACCCATCCTCGCCATGGTAACACACACACACACATATATTTATAAAACAATAAACACACACACAAGCAGTAAACGCACACAGACGCCTTGCACATATCTGTCACTCCTGTCAGATCTCTCTTTTTTTATCTCTTTCCATTTTGTCAGCTCTCTCTCTTCACACCCTCTTTGTTTTCAAGGTCTCTCTCTCTTTTGACAGAGTCAAACGCAGTCGGGATGTGATCAGACAGAGCGCCAACTTCTTATAGATTCCTCTTAACTCACGGGATTAAAGCCCGAGTTCAAAGTAAAGTGTGGACACAGAGGTGGAGGAAGTATTCGGATCTTTCACTTAAGTTAACTTAAACAAAAGTATGATCAGGAAAATGCATCCATTCACCCCAGCAGCTGATTTCTGAAATGCATTTTACAACGTGGCGGACAGGCTCAGCAACAGTTTAAAGAGGACAGAAATATTTATGCTAAGCTAGGCTAACCCCATCCTGACCCTTCTGAACTGAAAACACAGACGTGAGTTGGATATCCACCTGAACATCTCACCTTTCACAGAAGCATTTGATCCTTTTTCTTTAAGTCGACATTTCTTCGATCACCGTGACATGGTCTTCGCCGTCGTGATACTTCTGTGCTCTCCACTTACACGGCCAAAACGGCTGAGACTGCATCGTGTGTCCTGATCACACAGGTGACAGGTGTGTTCATGTGTTTCCAGGTGTGGGAAGGTCAGAGCATTGTGAAGCTGGCCAGGATGATGCTGGGTGAGACCAACCCTGCTGACTCCAAGCCCGGCAGCATCCGTGGTGACCTGTGCATCAACATCGGCAGGTGAGCAGACATTCTCCCCACACACACCTGTCAAACAGTCGTCCACACTGTACTGTTTTAGGAATACATAGGGCTGGACGATATGGCCAAAAATGTTATTATGATAAAAAGCTCAATATCTTTCCATATTGATACTTATCACAATAGTTAATAAGTTTAAAGGCTGATTTCTGCTCCTGAGTTAAAGTTGAAACCTGATGGTTAATTGTGGTTTAAACTCTTTATGGTCAGCACTTGAGGCCAAACAGTGGATCACTTCACAAAGTAAAATTAAGTAAAAGCTTTTTTCAGTCCTTTTTCCTCAACAAAATAAAACATAAAAAAAAAATTCAGTCCTAATTTGTGTATGATTGAAGTGAATAAAATTGTATCGCAATAATTATTGTTTTTGTTTTATTGTCCAGCCCTAGGAATACATGGGGTACATTTAGAGGGATCATTCAATTATTGGCAGAAATCTAAAAATAAACCGTGAGGAAGAATTTTGGTTGTTGTTTTCAATGCAACATTATTATTAAACTCCACTGAAAGTCTAATTCATGCATTTTATGATGGTAAATATGATGATGAACACGTGCTTACACGGTTTAAAAACCTGTTGTGTAACTTAGAATCGTTCCTGTCAAACAGGTGAATTATTAAATACTTCAGATGTTTCTATAACGTGTTGAGTCTCAGCCTGACAAATAACGTAACTTCAACATATAATAATAATAAAGGACACTAAATAGGGATTGATTATTTGTTTGCTGTGGAAGCATGTTTCACTACAAAAATAGAAGAATAGATAAAATGCTAGGAATTACAGATATTAAAAATTTTAATTATGATATTTTAAAGTTCAAAGTTAAATCAAAATCATAATTGTCAAATTATACAATTTATAAATCTGACTTCTGGTTGTGAATCAAATCAGATGTTGTTGAAATTATGAGACACCAAGATTGTCCTTTTTAAATCAAAGTTATGATTTAAGTAGAAATTTGAAATCCAATTTAGGATTTTTAAATTATTCAAAGTCAGTGAACTTTTACTTCATAATTATGACTTTTTAAAGACAAAAGTATGAAATAGTAAGTTAAATCACTATTCAGTCACTATGAGTAAGTAAAAATAATGACTTTAACTTTAAATTCAACCCTTTCATTTGAATCTGGCAGTAACGACGTTCCATAATATGCAACAAGAAATTAACTGAAGGAATTAAATAAAGAACTGACTCACAAAGCCAACATAAAGGCACTTTTTCAATAATTAAAATTTTTTTAGATTTTACAGATATTGATCACTGGCGTCCATCCTCTAACGTTCCTCTTCCTTTCCTCAGGAACATCATCCACGGCAGCGACACCCTGGAGAACGCCAAGACTGAGGTCGACCTGTGGTTCAAGGCCGAAGAGTTCGTCAGCTACACCCCCTGCGCCCAGGCCTTCCTGTACGAGTAAACCGGCCAATCACCAACCAGTAAACTACACCCAACTGGACCCCGCCTACCCCACTGACCCCGCCCCCACTACACCCGTTGTCCCTGCAGTCGATTCTCTGAATTGGTCTTCACTAATCAATCTCAAACATGTAGCGCTTATCAATAAAGTCTCATGTTAACAACAGTCTGAGTGTTTCTGTCTATTGAAAGCTTGTTTGTATATTCTGCTATTTGAGTCCGCAGCTAGTTGCTCTGAGCTAAATGCTAACATCACTATACTAACATGCTGATGTTTAGCTAGGGTAAGGTGACCAGATTTCTGAAATGGAAACCAGGGACATTTTTGGTTTGGTGGTCAGTATGTCATAAAAAAATATGTTATTATATATGAAATAATGATAGTTTCGGTTTCATAATCTGTCAAACATAACTCAGAAACTAGCTTTCAGTCAATATGTAGAGGCTGCAGTCAATTTCTGGTAAGTAGGATACCGCATTTTATGTGTTGTTTTGGCCAGAGTCATAAGGTTAATTGCAAAAGAGATCATGTCTTTATTTTATATATAACTCCGCAGTAAGTCATGTTAGTTATAGGCTACATTTCGTGTTCTAAATGTAAACAAAGATATTAGAAGCCTGTTGTTGCCGATGGATTACAGTATGTGTTTGGTAAGCGTATGTCTATTATTGCCTTTAATCACCTAAAGGTCAGACCTGGTTACACTATAAAATGCAAAAACTTGTTTGGCCACAATTGTGATTATGCTGTTAAAAGAACCGTTAAAGTATCACAAAGACAAACCTTTGCGACATAAAGTGATGTTTATTTGCACATTATGTCGGTTTGATCCACATAAAAGCAGCTGTAGACGTAAAGAAACTGGGTGATAACGTTACATGCTATGTGTGCTCTCGTGGACGACAATCATTTCCTGGACACGTAAAATTTTATTTCAGGTCTGTTAACACCTCATACAGTGTATGATTAACACACAGTTAAAAACGGGGACATTTCCGGGGACAGCTTCAGATGGGGACAGGCCACCAAAACCGGGGACTGTCCGCGGAAAACAGGGACATCTGGACACCCAAAGCTAGGGTGACCGCACGTCCTCTTTTCCCCGAACATGTCCTCTTTTTGGGACCTAAAACATGCGTCCGGCCGGGATTTCTAAATCACCCAAAATGTCCGGGATTCGGCTTCTGCTTTCTTAGGTGGTCATGTAGGCCTACACGTCTTCTATGCAAACATCGGTCAAACTGCATGTCAATCATTCCCCTCAGCACCACAGCAACAGCCAACAGACAGAGCAGCAGCTTGCTTGTCAACAGCGGCACATGGCGTCTGAACAGTGTAAAAAATGCCCAAACGCGATGCTTGAAGTGGGCACTTCTACATTTCACTCTTTGGTGTACCTTTGGTGTAACTTTTTCTTGTGTACCGTCACTTCTCACAAGCCCCCCTACTCGTTCCTTCCTTCTCCACCAGAGGAGACAGAGTCTGGAGAAGGTTGGGTGCTTTTTTTATCCAAGCATCGGCATAAAGCTGTTGAATTTTTACTAATAGGCCTATTATAACACAAGAAAAGCAATCTAGTGTATGCGGTCCAATGCAGTGAGGAATGCACAGACCTGTATATTGGGGAGACTAAACAACCACTACACAAACGCATGGCTCAACACAGAAGGGCCAACTCCTCAGGTCAAGACTCTGCAGTCTACTTACATCTGAAGGACAGAGGACACTCGTTTGAGGACCACCAGGTGCACATTTTAGACAGAGAAGATGGATGGTTTGAAAGAGGTGTCAAGGAAGCATCTACACCAGGGTCGAGAAGCCGTCATTGAACAGGGGAGGGGGTCTACGCCACCACTTATCCCCCACTTACAATGCTGTCCTTTCATCACTTCCCAGGAAACTCAACAAACGTAACCTATTGGCCTCAGGTGAAGATACCAACGATGGTCGTTCAGTCTTGGCCTCAGGTGAAGATGCCAACGATGGTCGGTCAGTCTCGGCCACAGGGAGTCTTAACGACTGTAACGACTGTCGTCACAGCAACAAGGAACAATAACGAACCAGCGGTATCGATGACCCGGGCCAACGACCCCACTGAGGTTAAATAGCTGAGCTTCCCTGCCAGTCAGTCAGAACTGAAGAAGTCCTTTGGATGAGGGACGAAATGTCTTCCAGTATCTTCAACCAAGTCCAGTTGCCCTTGATTTTAACCTTCGTTGGATAACTATGACCTGGATGACTGAGAATCTTCATAGACTTTTTGGGGACTATTTTCAGCGGCGGATTCATTCACATTTGGAGCTCTAGTGAGTATTTGGGGCAGCAGGGCGGTCCTTTACCTGGCTGAAATGAATCCACTGTAGAATCTGATTATCTCGACACGTTAACACCAAAGTTTTACTGCTTGTGGGCCAAAAACACCGGCGGGGGAGGAAACTATGTTTCTGGCTAAATATCAGCAACGGGAGCTTCAGTCATTTGGCTCAAACAGGACCATCAGCTGAATCCTACCCTCCTTGGCAGCTGACTGAATCGTCCAGAACATCTGGGGATCCTGCTGACCTCGGATTCAGATGATCTGACATGACATGAATTTCCTTTTAAAGGCCTGAAAGTGAGGAGCATATTACACCTTTAATGCGTCAGTGATTGTTTCATCTGACTTCTGATACTGCAGCTTTACTGATGATAGTCACGCTTACCTCTGTAATTAATAATCTCTACGTTAGCATCTATGTTCCAAACTTTTTTGAGTCAAGCTGTCATCAGCAATGTTATTGTAGTTTAGCCTTTTTCATTAGTTTGTATTTTTGTTTTGACTTCTTGTTTTTCAATTTCAGTTTAGTTTTAATTAGTTTTTATGCAGGTTTGCTAGTTCAGTTTATTTTATTTTTTCACACCTAGTTTTCATTATTTCGTTTAATGATAACAACCTTGGTCATCAACTTAATTTATTACCGTATATACACCGATCAGCCATAACATTCTTTGAGCGACTTTGACAAGGACCAAACTGTGATGGCTAGATGACTGGAAGGAAAAGATGTGAACCGGTGGCAGGGTCATAGACGACCAAGGCTTACTGATGCACGTGGAGAGCGAAGGCCGGCCCATGTGGTCTGATCCAACTGACGAGCTACTGTAGGTCAAACTGCTTAAGAAATTGATAGTGGTTCTAATAGAAAGGTGTCAGAACAAACAGTGAAGTCCAGTCCTCGACGGGTCAGGGCTGTTTTAGTGGTGAAAGGGAGACAAGCAGGTGGTCATAATGTTATGGCTGATTGGTGTAAACTATAAACCAGTTTCATCAGTGTTTTCCACTGTTTTTGAGGGGAAAAGGCCTTTGAAAATGTCATCGTGTACAAAATGTAGGTTTTTTTTGGCCATATCGCCCAGCTCTAAAACAATATAATGAAGAAGCCAGGCAAAACAAATATCAAAGAAAATTCACTTCAGAAATAACATTAGGGGGTTATTTGGACTAAAAAACCAAAACTCACTACTGTCAAACATGTTTCATTTGTTTTACCAAATTCACTTCTGCAGTCAACCACTGAAAAAAATTACAAATAATGCAGTTATAAGCAAAAATAATGACTTCAAAAATCATTATTTTCGGAACAGTTTTTATTGCATAAAAATGTAAAGTGAATAATCTAAATGTAATAATTTCTTCACAATCATGCTGCCAAAAATTGCACAATGTATTAAAAAAAAAGCTTCATGAAAGTTAACATCAGTACATAACTACATTTGTCATACACGTACAGTATATAGATTTATATCTATATATAGATTTTTTTAAACATTTGTATGTGCTGATAAGAGCTCAGTTAACATCATGTTCACAGCACGAACATGTGGACCAAATGGACATTAACAGTATCGAACACAGATTAAAATCTCAACTTCTTTTATCCAATGGCACATGTGTTTAAAGACAAATAAATAAAACTTTATCAGTCTGGGTTTGGCTCTGCAAACTTTAGCTTCATGAAAATTCTGTTTTTTTTGTTGGCTCGGTCTTGCAGGTTTTGAAGGCTACCTGTGAAGTACTGCAAAGTCTACATTTACAGATCGGACACGTCTGCAACGGCAAGAAAACAATACAGAAGCTTGATTATGAGCTTTACGGAAGGAAGATCAAATTCAAATTATGTGGACAAACGCAGCCCAATCAGAGAGCAGCTGTGGTTGCTAGTAGTTTTGTCAGGTTTGTGAATTTTTGCATTATGTCAAGTTAAAAGTTAAAATTATCTTCAGACTTGAGAGCAGCTTATTTCCTCAGACTGAGACTCCAAAAATCATCCTCAGCACTCCACCATGTAAAGCTTTTTGTCAGTAGCATGAAGCGAACTACAACTTCCTCTCGTTATTAGGGTTGGGTATCTCAAAACCAGATCCAAGTTGGAACCGTCACTAAATTTCCAAAAAATGTTGATTCAATAAGAACCAGATTCCATAAGTAGAATCAGAATAGATAAAATTGAAACGAAACACAAGGGTTAGACAAGCAAATGAACCTGTCTTGGTTTCAAAAGCAACCACAGCTGATCTTCCAGACTCATTGAAACATTATCCCAAACCACAGTCTTAAGAAAACACTGCCACTTTAGTAAGTCCCTTTAAAACCCCCACAAAACCTATAAAACCCATGAAATCCTCCTTTCCTTTGTTGACAGACACACATAACATCCCAAACTGACGGGGAACATTGCAGAATTCAAGGATTTAAATCCATAAACTTTGATATTTTCACCCATAACACATAATTTTCTCCAATAGACAAAATCTGCATCCAAAATACAAGTTCCTCACCGGGGTCGACAGTCAACAGACAGTTTGTCAAAATCACTCCATAAAAACTTTATCAAATGTGTATATATCATCAATAGATAGCACCATAATACAAATGAGACAGTTTGACATTTTTGGAGACTCACGGACAAATACACAACAAACACAAACAGACGACACACAGTAGTGCCAGTAACAAGTGTGAAATTTAGAAAAACAGCTACTATATGAGTGTGCGGATTGATGCGTGCACACACTGTCGAGTTTAAAACACACGCAAGTTACTCATGATTACACTGTGAGCCCTATAGCACTTTATTCGTGCGTTATGATCATGCCTTTCCCTCCTGGAAAACAGGCACCTAGATTAGATTAGTGTGGAAGCTCATTTTTGTCAAGAAAACAGTTAAAAATTTAGAAATGACAAAAACAAAAGTCTAAGTTATGAAATATTAAGTCAAAATTATGAGCTACAAAGTCAAAATCTGGAGTTACTTAGTAAAGATTGTAAGATAGTATGTAATAGTGAGTCAAAAATTTGAGTTAGATGTAAGAATGATGAGACAATAAGTTAAGTAAAAATTAAGAGATCTAAGATTGGAAAGCGAAATATTCAAATTATTAGAGCCAGACCAATAAATCTGCGTGCCAATATTATCGACCGATATGAGCTAATTGCACATAAATCAGTATTGCTGTTTATAAAAGCAGGTTAAATGACAATTAAAAAAGAAACAGAGACTGATTCTTCAATCTTCTTATGAGTTTTTCCGCTGCATAGTTTGTCCACACATGTTTGGAACCACAAAACACAGCAATCAGCTGTACTTTTATTTTATTTAAAACAATAAAAAAGTTTGATTTCAAACTGCAATACGTCACGTTATCTTGGTTAGGTCTCATAACTACACATAACAAATGTTAGAGATAATCTAATCTTTGTTTATGTTATGTGTTTCTGAAAAGAAGAAAAAAAAATATCGGCCAATATATCGGAATATCGTATTTTAAAATCCTTAAATATCAAAATTGGTATCAGTCTTAAAAATTTTATATCAGTTGGGCTCTAAAAATCATATGATTGGAAACTTCAAAGTAAAACTGACTTCCTATGAGTATTTCTATTTTTATCATGTCTAAATTTTTCATTTTCTTTCCCAGAAATGGGCATCCAGGGTTTAGATTACTTTAAAATAGTTTACAATTTCAATGGTAATTTTGGCACTTGATTTAGATTTTGTTTTAGTCAGATAAGGAGTAATATTAGCTACTAGCGTACACGTTAACTGAAAATGTGAGTGCAAATTGTCTAAATGGCTGAATCGACTTCTGAAGAGATATTTTTGGATGGTGAAAGGTTCTGTTTTTACCAGGTCTTTAAATGAAACTTTTAGTTTAGAAACTAGTTTTAGTTCAATTTTTAATGTTACTTTGGCAAATTTGCTAGTCTATTGTTTAGTGTGACATAAAGGTATACTAATATTTGCGGTCATAGTTTCCATTGATGAAATTAACACTACTAATTATATTAGATTGCTGCTTACACTGTAGCTCTAGTTGTACTGCTAGCTATGTGTAAACTGGGGACCTTTAAGGCCATTGGACCTGCTTTTGATTAATCATTGGTGATACTGGAGAAGTTTTGATTGGTAAACATTACTACAAACACTGATAACAAGTTCGCATCCAGAGACACAAACAAGGTTGAGACTGGTGTTTGAATCAAATGCACACAAACTACCCAATAGTCGATATTCAAAAAATTGAAAAAAAATTAAAAAATTTCCTCATGGCATTTATAAATCACATTACTGCCATCTTATTGTCTCTACAAACTCGGCATATTCAGATATACACAAGCTCAGGCAAAACTAACACTGAACATCACAGATTTAAATCAAGTGATACTGACGCTGGAAGAACACGTCACGTTTCAAAAGTCTTTCTTCAGTTTTGTCCACATAAACAAACTTATTTTTATATATATATTTTATATATATACTATCTTTAAAAGCATCTTTTCTCTTTATTGATTTTTCTTCCCTACGCACTAAGGCAGCGTTTTCTTTGCAACAAACTGAGCTTTTGTAAAATGTTATACTTCTGAAGGGCCACAAGATGTGGTTGAAAGCTCAACATTTAGTTCATGAAATTTAATACATTCTTGGTCCTAAGAGGATGACACCCAATAGAGTGCTGCAAGAATAGAGAGCCTAGGTTAGGTCCCTTCCAGTGGACCGCCAGGGACCTTATTTTTGGAAAAAAAACACGCAAGAAATTTTTTGATCCTTGAATTGTGCTCTGAATTACACACATTTGTCAGGTTAAAAGATAACTGGAGTCAAGAAAATCGCAGTTTGTCGTAAAACTTAAAAAGTATAAAACTGAAAATACGTAATTACAAAGACCACAAACCTAAAAGTCGCATATGTGACGTCAAAGACTGGAGCTAACGTTACTGAAGCTAACGTCACTGAGTCAAACGAGCAAAGGACCGGGAGTTGTTGGATTAAACACATCAGGTGAGATACACCTGTGCCTGGAACACAGCTAAGTTACCTAGCTAGTAGCAACCAAGCAATGAACGTTAGCTTAGCATTATAGCGCTAACATGTTGCTGACGTACATTGTGCAAGCGATGTAGTTCACTGCATTTTTCACACAAAACTAAATGTTACTTTACTGTTTTACGACAAAACTGCGACTTTCTTGACTTAAATTATTAATTACACTGACAAAAGTCATATGTGTGATTCAGGACTCAATTCAAACAGGATTTTAAAACTTTGTCTCTCGTGATTGACAAAAAATTTTTTCGGTGTGGCAGAAGGGAGGGGACTTGGGATCTCTAGAAGTCCTAAAACCTGGAAATTCTTTTCTTGTCTTTACTTCTAGCGATTGCTTTAACGTTTTAAAAACAATAAAAGTGGTAGAAGGATTATCTTGCTGATCAAAACTTGAAAGCATAATAACCTTTTGTTTGCCACAGAGCAAATTTTTCTGCAATAATCCAAAATCCAGTGGAAAAATCCCACTGGCTTTTTGTCGAGGGAAATCAGTGCACTTTCTGTTTGACCTACAAATATACATCATCCCTGCAGCACTCTTATGATTCTGGTGAAATGTCTGGTGACACTGCGCAAATGGCGGGTTGAAATTCACACCTGTTCAGCATTTTATTATCCTACATGATACCTGAAAAACGAAAAGCCTTGTTTCCTTAAATGGTCAACTGTCAGCCACAGCAGTGAGATGAAGGCTAACACAGACTTGCCAATATGCTAGAAAAAGTGCAGTCACCGTAGCAGTCTGTCCCACACTCAGCCCCAAAAGATCTAATGTCGTGGTTCCAATGTGGGTAATGAAGTCTGCGGGAGGCGGCCAAGAATCACACCAAAAACGAGAAATGCATTCTTCAATGATTTTTCATCATTTTTTAACTGAATGGGTGATGGAGTGTATATTGACATAACTGTAACATTACGGAATCCTTTCCAGCTAAATCTTTCAGCATGTAAATATCAAACATTTGTTTAAAATGCATGTTAACGTGCTAGCTCTAGCACGTTAGCATGCTGTCACACAGGTGTGTGCTGTCACACACATGTTTCAGCTAAACTCAGCTGGGAAAGTCTGAAGTCATTACGGTTACGGAAGTTATAAATAACATCTTTTCCCTTTGGTGAATGCAACACCCTCCCTTTTATGATAAATAACTTGAATCAAAATAATACTGTAGTATTAAAATTTGAAACTCATATTTATTCTGATTTCTTTGTGAACCTGTAACTCAATAACTTTATAACAAACCTGTTATTTATCTACCAGTTTTTAGAACTTGAAAATCTTTATTATTAGAATGTTTTAAATCAAATATACTCTTCAGTTATTTTTAATGATCTCTGTTACACCATATTATGCAATTTTGTTTTCCAATGAAATACTAAATATTCTTAATTGTTATATTCATTCATATCCATTATTTAATATACTTTTTATTGAGGTATCTATAGTTAGCATGTGAAGACATCACTACTCTTAGCTGTCCAAGAAGTGTTTTGTTATTTATCGAAGGAAGTCTGACTCTGTGCATTTAATTTCTTCATCAACTTCAGTGTTTGTGTGACTCTATATTAAAAAACTATAGATGTATCTCAAAAAATTTGAACATTGTAGAAAAGTTCATTGTGATTATATTTTTTTTATTCTGAAATTCTAACACATTTTAGGAAAGTGAAGTTTTGATTGATATGATATTCAAATTTTTTGAGATGCACCTGTACATTAAAAATCGATTTGTGTTTGATTTGAGTATCAAAAACAGTATAAGGTTGGACCAGGTTTTAAATACCAGACAATACGATACCCGAGTTTCAGCACTGATACCAATGTAATTTTTTTGTTGATACCTTAATTGGAAAGACATTATCATGTTTTTCTACAAAGTATGCAGGCAAGTCAAAAACAGAGGAAGCTGGCATGTCATATTAGCTTTGTTGCTGACATCCAAACTGCTCTTTAGTAATCTGTTTAGTAATAAATCCTTATGCCGTTAGCAACTGGGCTAACGAGAAAGCTAGCTTGGAGAGCTATTTTTTCCTCTTCAGTAACTCTTTAATGAATAAATGATCTACAATCCTGAGAAGGGAAGTAAACTTAACAATACGGAGAAAATAGAGAGAAGCTAAGACACTTATTGTGACTACTACTACTACTAGCATGTTCGCCACTGGCTAGCGTGTTAGCTGTTGGCTATCCAGCTACAATTGTTCACCAATTAGCCCCGTGAGTGGTCACGACTTCACCAAACTTAAAAACTGCTAAAATTATGAGGAAATCAGGAATTACCTGATAAAAGAACAAGTCATTATGAATACCGCAAAACTTCCAATTAGTATCCCAGGCTTTTCTTTGCTTAAAACAATTAACTCACCCGGCCTTTATTTGGGACTTTAATTCCTTTACCATACCAGTAAATCTTAATGAATTATACTTTGGTGCTCAAGGCTCCCTTAAAAATGAACTGAACGATTGAATTGTAGAGAATCTAACTGATGTAACTGTGTAGTATGTCTGTTTTGACACAAGTTTAAACGTTTATATATTAGTGTGCACAGTCTAAGCAGCCATGCTTAAACAGGTGACCCGGTGGGCTTTAAGAGGTTTTATACATTCAATTAACTTCTATAAAAACCAAACCAGGCTTCTAATTGAGACCTGCGGTTATTTGTCAAAACATGTAGCCACACCAGGCCAGTAACCAGGACAGGCGTCTAACTGAAGTTTTACGGTATGTTAAGAATATGACTAAATATTTGGCTTCAATTTCCGATACTTGACCTTCTTCAGCAGTCAGTTTGATTATCAGATCTTGAACTCGGGCCTATATTAACATATCATATTTTATAGCTTGGGTGAAGACAACATTAAACTTTCTATATAAAGTGTTATGACTTTTTGGTAAATGCCTAAATATATATAAAATGGTATCGAACTATGAGGTGTTGAACTATTTTCTCATTGGTCCGGAAACTCAAATATCATACTGGCACAAGAATGGAATTTTTAAACTATACTCAGATCTACATTGATCTCTTATTGCAATTTTTTGTACAAGTTATTTATTACAGTTACTCTGACAGAGCCCTGTAGCTATGACTGAACTTATTTTTGGAACAAAAAAGTTTGTTTCTGATTAAGAGAAGAATTTTGATTCAGCAAAACTTCACACACTTTTGGCTGATTTTAAACTTTCCACCAAACTGATGCTGAACACCAGATAACAATACACTCTAGCTAATACATTATTTCTTATCTCAGATACTTTGACCTGCTGAACATGACTCTATAAAAATGCAGACTTTTTAACCGTGGCTCAAAAAACAAAAACGGTTAAACTGCTGTGGGCTCTTGTTAGCTGGTTTCTTATTTTGTGGCATCCTAAAAACTCAGCAATCCAGAATCCAAACCACAGCACTCACATTATCAAACACACAAAGTTTTTAAATGACTGTTAATCTCAACATGACATTACACAGCATCCAGTATTTTTACGTCAAGAGTTTTGACTCTCGAAAACACCATGTAAACACGTACAACAAACAAACAAACAACAAAGATCTTGGCGTTGAAAAATTCATCATACAAAAGTTTTTCTCATCATGTTATCTACCCACCGACATACCTGCCCACATTTTCTTCTTCTTTATCTTTATTTGCGTCTGTATTCTGTTCTTCTTTGCCCTTTTTGCTTATTCTGAAGAGTCTATGAGCAATATTTCCCCCCCGTGTAGCTGTGAAAGGGTATTTTGTTTTTGGGAAAGCCACAAAAAAGGATTATGACATGAAGGAGTTTGGGAAAGGATCCAGTCACACCAGCATCAATGACAATTTCAGCTGAAAATCAATTCATTTCAAAAGAAATTACATACGTGAAAATACATAATCTGTTAAATAAACAGAGCTTTTTATCCTGTTAGCGACTAAGCTAGTTAGCTTAGCGGTCTATTGTTGCTGGTAAACCTGAAGCTTTAAATGAAACAGATTGAAAACACTTTTATAACAAAAAGTGATGATAAGCGAACACTTTAGCTCTGTTACACTTCTAGACTGCGGAGCTATGTGGCAGTTAGCAGCTTGGTGGGCTGTAGAGAACATAAGTCCCGCCCCTTCTGGGTGGACCACCATGGGACCTTATTTCACAATACAACAAATTTTTTACACATGATATTTGTTATTTTATAAGATAATTTAATTGAAGAAAGTTGCAGTTTGTCGTAAAACAGTCGAAGGATAAGAAAATATGTAAATGTAAAGACCACAAACCCAAAAGTTGGATATGTGATATAACTGTTCACCCAGTGACTGAAGCTAACGTTAGTGAAGATAACATCAAAGAACTTCCATGTGTAAGATGATGATGATGAAGATGAAAGGACCAGGAATTGTTGGATTAAACACATCAGGTGAGATACATCTGTGCGTGGAAGCTAAGTTACCAAGGTAGTAGCAAGCAAGCAATAAACGTTAGCTTAGCATTATAGTGCTAAAAATACTGGTGACGTATATTGTGCTAGACAAGAGATGTAGTTCATTGAGCGGTTTTAACACAAAACTAAATGTTACTTTACCGGTCCTTTGCTTCAATGACGTAGGAGTCAGTAACGTTAGCTTAAGTAACGTTAGCTTCAGTTCACTTCATTAGCTTCAGTAACGTTAGCTTTAGTCATAAGAGAAACAGCTGTGACGTCACATACGCGACTTTTGGGTTTGTGGTCTTTGTAATTATGTAATTTCACAGTCTTATAACGTTACTTCCAACAGTTTTACAACAAACTGCGACTTTCTCGACTTAAATTATATTTTAATCTGACAAACATCATGTTTGTAATTCAGGACACAGTTCAAGCGGGATTAAAACGTAAATCGTGTTTCACTGTTGACTCCCATGCATATTTTTCCCGAAATGAGGTCCCATGGGGCGGAAGGGACGGACTTGGGCTCTCTATGCAGCTTTAGTTCCGGGTTAGAGCGGTCTCCTACTAACCCGGAGAGTCGATGGTTGGGCAAGACACTTAACCCCAAATTGCTTTTGGTTCCTGTGCCATCGGGGTGTAAATGTATGAATCTCATTTCCTTTCTGATGTGCAGTTGGCTTAGTCTCTCTGCCATCAGTTTATGAATGAGTGAAAGGGTGAATGTGATGTAGTGTAAAAACGCTTAGTGGTCGTAAAGACTAGAAAGGCGCTATTGTGGCTGGTTAGCACTAAAACTTTCCCAGTAGCTTGCCAGCTACGTTATCGCTACGTTATCGCTACGTTATCGTTATCGCTACGTTATCGTTAGGTCATAGTTGCAACTTGTTCATATTTTTTATTTATTTAGTTACCTGTTCAATTTTATTGTCTGTAAAATATTTCCCAAAATGAGGATCTAAGGAAGTGCAATTTCGTTTTTGGGGATGAAAAAATCTTCTTCTATCTTAAAAAAGCTATATTTTAAATAATTATAAAATATCCACAAAGTGGGAAGAATGTAGACTACGAAACGGTAGCCTCAACTTCATCAACAAGCTTTCAACACAACCTAGGATTTTGTGATGAGGAATTTTGTTGTGCCACTTTCTGGTCTGACCGAACACCAAGAGAAAGACTTGAGGAGGAGTATGTTAATTGGTGTATGTTAAGATGGAGGCATGGAGGCAATTTCGGACACAAAAGCCCAATATGCTTTATGACTTCTGACCGAAGCAAAGTGCATTACTTAGCTAGTAAACAGATGGATGGATGGATAGATAAAGGCAGAGATGGATAGATGGGGCCTACTGGTCCTGGTTGATGAAGAATTCTCCAGAAGATCCATTGGTTTCTGTTTCAGTCCTTTTAGGAGGTAACTCTGTTCCTTCAAGGTTCTCGTCTTTAATCTCTGAACCTGCAAACAACAAAAGAGGTACTTCAGGAGGACTGTTCTCTGCAGGATCACCAAAATGTAATTTACTACAGTGTGAGACACAGAAAATCACAAATCCTCACATTTGAGAAGCAGGAAATATTACATATATTTAACTTTAAAATTGACTTTAATAATAATTTGATGATCAAAATAGTTTTCTGTCAATCGCCTGTTTTTGTTTCAGCTTTAACCTCAAACAAACTATCATAATTATCATGTATATTATCATTTTAAATGCTTGCCAACTTTTTATTATTATTTTGATTTTCTTTAATGCCTTCTTTAGCAACATGAGCAGCTGTAACAGAGTTTCCTCTCGGGGACCAATAAAGCATTTATGATTCTGATAAATACTAGAAAATTAATAAAATCACAAACCAATTAAAATAAAATGTGCAAATGTACTACGTGCAGTTGTCCACACAATAAAAGAGTGTTTGCTCACAGCTCTTTTATTTGGCTCTTACCACGTGGTGTGCATTTTCTCAAGTACTGTACTCAAGTAAAAGTGCCTCAAATTTGAACTTTCTACTTCAAATGCACCACATCTCAGAGGGAGATATTGTACTTTTTACTTCACTACAATTATCTGACACCTTTAGTTACTTCACACATTAGGATTTTTACACAAAACAATAAAGAGTTTATAAAATGTTTGTTATAAATTCAACTACCAACAGTTTATACAGTTAGTCAGTTGAGAAAAAATTTATCATTTCCTGACTGATTTGCTGCTTCTCATCTGAATGATTATAATAACTGTAATGTTGGTTGATAGCGTTGAGGTTTGGACAACAAGCGTTTACAGTGTGGTTTTAGTCCAACTAAAAGTAAAGGATCCGAGTATTTCCTGCACCGCTGAATGCTACGACAGTGTGTTTGTGTGTATACCTGGCCCCCCCTCGGTGTTTGGACTGCTGTCTGGGTCAGCAGAGGGGGGCTGGGTTGCTGAGGCAGGAGTAGGGGGTGATGGGTAGTTTGGCGGCGTCTCGTTCTCGTCTCCTGATAGGCTCCTGGGGACACCCGTTACCACGCCGCTGGAGAGGCTGACAGGTCGCTTAGCGAGGGGTAACTTTCTCTCTGAGAGAAGAAAAAGGTAAAGTCAGTGAAACCGCCAATACGCTCGTGAGCTTTTTAAAAAAGAAAAACAAATTAAAGCTGCAAAGCAGCGTTGGGCGGGCCCTCACACGTGTAGCGTGTCAAGCTGTGAGGCGGCCGTGTTTCAGATTCTGGAGCTCTGCCAGTGTGGCTGTGAATTTGCCACGTGCTTCAGTCGCTGAACAAAGGTATTAATCATCACTTCCTGTGTCCCTTTTGTGGCGACACATAGCACTTGGGGCTACGACTATAACTGAATATTGGCATGCAGAAGTGTTTGGGGTGGGACTGTTGTCAAGCACGTAAAGTTTTGTGCAGATGTGAGTATGTACACTGAAGTTACAACAACTTCCTCTTTCATGCCGAATTATCGATTTTTGACAGCACGCCATGGGCAAACTGGTCAACTGGTAATAACCATTTGTACAACTTTTAATCATCAATGGGTTTAGACTGCACAGCGAAAATTTGAAGTCGATCGGACTAATTCCCTATGAGGAGTTCGTTAAAGTACAAAGTGTGTAAATCGCCACAAATGACCATTAAATCCAAAATGGCCGACGTCCTGTTGGGTTTAGGCTATGACTCCAAGAGGCTTTATTGTGCGTCTGGACATGATACAAGTACCACAGAAATTTCGTACACGTAGGTTACACTTAGTCCGGGGGCTGTTCTGTAGGGGGGGCTAGTGAGCCATTTTATCACACCCATGCACAAAACCCATAAAATACGAAATTGTTTGAAAGTTTGGTGAGTTTTTGAGTATGTTTAGGCCCCCAAAATAAGGGTTACTTTGCAGGAGAAAGAAAGAAAGAAAGAAAGACGTTTCAATAGGGACCTCGCACGTTTCGTGCTTTGGCCCTAAAAAATCTAAAATCAGGAATCGAAACATATCACCTTGTAAACAAACAGAGGAAGGACAACTCACCTGGGCTCCATAAATCAACTGAATGATCATTGTTCAATACAAGAAGAGGTTTTCTTTGACGTACACTGACAGTTAAATATACATACAGATATTATAACTGTCAAACTGGTATTTTATATTCGGTGTCATTTAAAAGTTACTGTCTTACATCTGAATGTTTGGAGGTTTCAGAGACGTACTTTTCTTTTGTCCCTTGTACTGCTGGGATTTCTTCCTTTGTTTGGATGCAGCTTCTCTGGAACCTGAACCACAAACACACACATTTTATTATGTCTATAAGTTTAAAAATCACCCAACCTGAAACTGGGACTGTTTAGGACAACATGTGATTTACATATTTTATATTTGTCTTGTCTTTAACCTCCAGTTTCAGTTGCTGTGTGTGTGTGTGTGTGTGTGTGTGTGTGTGTGTGTGTGTGTGTGTGTGTGTGTGTGTGTGTGTGTCACCTGCATTAACGGCAGGAGGCTGCAGCTGGTACCCGGTCAGCTGACACCAACCCACCGGGTACAGGTCAGGTGACTCACAGTCCACCCATTGGTCATACTCGTCTTCCCAGCCATCAAAGTGTATCCGTAGCAGCCGGTGGACGATGCGGGTCACTGTGGCGACGCAGACCAGCCTGGGCTCCATGAGGTCCACAGCCTCAAGCTTCATACCGGGACGGAAACCGTGGTTAGGGACGTCCTGACGGAGGACAGAGGACGTATCAGAGTTTATTCAAAAACAGGAAAACAATTCCTTTTGTTTTTTCTCAAGAAGAATAAAATGAACTAATTTTGAAAACACTGAACAAAATTATAAACACAACAGTTTTGTTTTTGCCCCCATTCATCATGAGCTGAACTCAAAGATCTAAGACAAAAGACCTAATTCTCTCAAATATTGTTCACAAATCTGTCAAAATCTGTGTTAGTGAGCACTTCTCCTTTGCCGAGATAATCCATCTACCTCACAGGTGTGGCATATCAAGATGCTGATCAGACAGCATGGGTATTGAACAGGTGGGCCTTAGGCTGGTCACAATAAAAGGTCACTCCAAAATGTGCAGTTTCACTGTACTGGGGTGGTCCGGGTGGTCTGGAAACCAGTCAGTATCTGGTGTGACCACCATTTGCCTCACGCAGTGCAACACATCTCCTTTGCATAGAGTTGGTCAGGTTGTTGATTGTGGCCTGTGGAGTGTTGGTCCTCTCAGGTCGAGACCCCGATGAGGACGACGAGCATGCAGATGAGCTTCCCTGAGACGGTTCCTGACAGTTTGTGCAGAAATTCTTTGGTTATGCAAACCGATTGTTGCAGCAGCTGTCTGGGTGGCTGGTCTCAGACCATCTTGGAGGTGAAGATGCTAGATGTGGAGGTCCTGGACTGGTGTCGTTACACGTGGTCTGCGGTTGGGAGGCCGGTTGGATGTACTGCCAAATTCTCTGAAACAGGAGACGGCTTATGGTAGAGAAATGAATATTCAGTTCACGGGCAACAGCTCTGGTGGACGTTCCAGCAGTCAGCATGCCAACTGCACGCTCCCTCAAAACTTGTGACATCTGTGGCATCGTGCTGTGTGATGGAACTGCACATTTTCGAGTGGCCTTTTATTGTGGCCAGCCTAAGGCCTTTTATTGTGGCCAGGCTAAAGCACACCTGTGCAATCCTCATGCTGTCTGATCAGCATCTTGATATGCCACACCTGTGAGCTGGATGGATTATTTCGGCAAAGGAGAAGTGCTCACTAACACAGATTTTGACAGATTTATGAACAATATTTGAGAGAAATAGGCCTTTTGTGTACATAGAGAAAGTCTTAGATCTTTGAGTTCAGCTCATGATGAATGGGGGTAAAAACAAAAGTGTTGCAGTTACAATTTTGTTCAGTGTATAATAAAAATAAACTATTTATTTGAGGGAATTTACTTATTTGTAAATATTCAGCTAATCCTGACAATTGTTTTTTCTGTTTCTTAGACCCCATTCAGTGTAAACTCTATTTTCAAAGACCAGTGTCAAGTTAACTCAAATTCAAACTCAAACTCAAGTTATGGCCAAAATTGTTATTATTTCATATCAATCGCTATCGATATTTCTCAGGATAAATGTCAAATCATTATTTCTTTCAGGTTTCAAGGCAGACTTTTGTTCCTGAGTGAAAGTTAATTCACAAAAGCAAAACATTCAAAACTATTATGATAAAATCTTTTTTCAACAATTATGCACCAGAAAAATGAAGTTTTCCTCAAAAATAAATACCTTACTAAAAAAAATAAGCGCTTTTTTGTTCATGATTCAGATAACGTAAACATTTATTGAACATTTGTTTAAATTATATTGAGAGAATTATCGTTATTGTTTTATTGCCCAGCCCTGACAATTTTAAATAAAAACTATATAAAAGCATAGTTACATATAAAAGAAGAAAATAACTGTATAATTCAAAACATACACATTCAGCTCAGTGTGGATCTGATTATTTCATCATCAATGAATCGTTTGATGCATAAAAGATTTCATTGATTCATGGTGTGTTACAAGTTGTCTTTTAAGATGTTAAAATTCACATCTCACTGTGTGTGTTGTGGGTTTTTTAAATGACTAAATCCAATCAAACAAGATTGGTTTGTTATCTGATCAACACGGAAAAGTAACAGCCATCAAATATTTGACGTTTCAGCCTGAAAATAAGTAAATAATTCTCGGATGCTGCTGATGTGTTTGTGAATGTGTTTCAGCTGCAGTGTTGGTCTCACCTTGTTGAAGAGATTGACAGGCGCAGCTACAGACGTGCTCTCCTTCAGATACTCAAACCATCTGAAGGGAAGATTGGTGTAACCTGACAGACACAAAAAGACAAACGGAAAGGAGCTCGTTGGTTTGGGAATATCTCGTATGTTACATCTTGTTTATCTGGAGGCAAAGTTCTTTAGGGTCATGGTTGGGAGCGGATGATCTTCTGGATGCAGTATTCAGGAGGAAAACTGTTTTCTTTTGTACTGTACATGTTATGATGATTTATGGCTGGTGATTCCACAGACATAACGACAGATTGAACCGATATATAATATTTAAATCTTAAGAACGCACACACCAGACGGTTCAGTCCAGACGCAGGACCACACACTCGCCGGTTATACTAAACGTGAGAACACGTGCTTCAGTCAGAAACAAACATGGAGGCAGACTGACTTTTCCGAAGCCTCGAGTTCGGCCGATAAGGCGCCGCCATGTTGATGTTTTGCAACCAGCGGCACCGGATGTGACCATATTTGGACGAGAGGGTGGAGCTAGCTAGCTTGCTTAGCTAGGTGCGTCTGTAATCGTCTTAACTGTCATTTTAACAGGGCTGATAATTTTGTCAACAACAGGCTTAAAACTAAATGTACTCACCAGAGAAAGTGAACAGCCGACTCTTAATACGCTTTTTCCGCGGCGCTGGTTAAATTTACACAGTGCCGAGGGTACGAGTCACTCTAGCCTGATTGACAGGTCGCCATGGTAACAACTCGTCAATCGCAGATAATCCCGCCCTGAAGCATACTCTGCTTTCTGGTATATGTTCCTCTAAATGGGACCATAATTTACTAAAGGCCCTTTTCGTCTGCATAGTACCAGCTCGACTCCACTTTGTTTGGTTTTCCATTGTAGAAATGTTGCACCTGTTCCTGCTTCCAGGTACTTTTTTTCATATCACCTCTGTCGAGGTTCCAAGCGAGCTGAGGGAAACTAAAATGTAACGTGAAAACACGACAGACTGCTGATTGGTCAGAGAGAATATTCACTATTCACTGCATCATCATTGCTGCACCAGACAGAGGCCAGCAGGAAGTTTTATATTTTACAGTTTTCGTATGTAATTTCATCACTAAATCCACTTCTGAAAAGTTTTGAGGTGAAATCAGCTGTGTAGATTTCGAATATTGACAGTTTTGCTAGAAGTGGTGGCGGAAAAAAAATGTGCTTCAATATTTTCGGAGTTGAGGAGCTCCGCAACTGCTGGTGTCTGATCGGAGGCTCCCTGATTTCAAGACGTTTATCAGCTATTGGAAATGAAGGAGCCTACGATCCAGATTCTGTGTGTAAACCCCTCACACTACAGGATCATTTGAGCCGATAATCTTTTTAGACCAGCTTTGGCACGGGAACGCCTGTAAGGAAGCAGCTGTACCTCTGGGGGGGGTCAGCTCGATGTTGTTGATCTCACAGAAGCCGGCGGGGAAGATGGAGGGAGAGGTGGAGTGATAACAGAACCAGTCAGAACCGTCGGCTGCCTCCGAACCATCGATACCGATCATCAGATACCCGTCTGCCAGCACCTGGTGAAGAGAGGCGACAGCTGGTTTACGGACTGAACGTGCAGCCGGTGGCCGTTCCTGTCGCCCTGCAGCTGCTCCTCACCTTCCTGACCGTGGCCACGCAGATGGCGGACAGGTTCAGGGGGTCGATGGCTTCCAGCTTCATCCCGTCTTCAAACCAGGAGCCGCTCTGATCCACCTCCTTCACCTGCACAGGTACACATCACAGAACTGAGCTCAGCTCCTCTCAGGTGTGATCAACCAAAATAACAAAGATGGAGGAGGGGCGCTGGGAGCAATACTGAGAAGGTCAAAGGTCATCACTACCCAGAAAATACAGGTGTGTGGGTAATACAGTCAGGTGTTATACTGCCCTCCTGTGGTGACAACAGGCTACAGACAGTCTGAGTGTTTTGGTGTTTGCCTGCAACAACAGAATCTAACTCTGGTGTTGTAAATGTTTTTTATGTTTTAAGTGCTATAATTGGAGATCATTAAATAAAATTTGTTCTTGTCAATAGTGTTATTAAAACAGCTGAGGGACATTTTGTTTCACAGATTTCAGTCACAAGCAGTCTTTGAGCCGTGTGTCTCGACAGAGTAAGAAAACAGACGTGAACTGAAAGTAAAACGAGCTCCAGACTCAGCAGCGACAGCAGTTGATGTGTTTTTGCTGTTGTTGTTGTTGTTCTCACCTTGGTGAACAGCTGTCCTGGAGCGTCCGTCTGGCTGCCCAGCTTCTTCGACACATCTGGAAACACACAGTTTCATCTTCAGTCTGTGCATCATCGTCACATGACACTGACGTTCACTGCCTGCTCATTAACCCGCTGCTGGTTTAAATATAACGTTTTCTGAATGCAGTCTGGTGGCGTCTCTACACACAACATCAGTGAGACACAAAAGTACCATCAGGGTCGGCTGCGCTTAGGAGGTAGAGCAGGTTGCCTGCTAATCAGAACGTCGGCGGTTGAACCCCCAGCTCCTCCAGTCTGCATGTCCAAATATTCCTGAGCAGGATACTGAACCACAAACTGCTTCTGGAGCTTTTGACGGATTATTTAAACTATTGCCAAAAGTTTCAGCACTGACACAAAATCAAATGTTCCTTTTTTTTAGCAAATAAAAAAAGAAGCATTTGTGACTACATTTTTGTAAATGTATTCATTTTTAACTACGTTTATTTCAAAGTTTTCTGAATGCAGTCTGGTGAGATCTTCTCAGGCGGAAAAACATTCAAATCTGGCAACGTGATGATCTGTTCGAGATCACCTTCACCCACCGGATCGTTTGAAGCGGTGTCCGATGGAGCGAGACCAGCCGATGCTGTGGATCAGAGGACTGTACATGTGACACCAGAAGTCGTCCGTCCCGTCTTCACACTCCTCGTACACCAGACGGAGACGGCCGCCGATCACCTGAAACGCACAACATATAAATACCAAAAGAAAGCCATTTAAACTCTTTTTGCCATCAAACACTGGCTGTGTGAGTCCCACCTGTTCAACCAGAGCGACCCGAGTCCGACACAGGTGAGTTTTATCCACCACCTCCACCCTCATCTGCTTCTTGAAGGGAACCTGCATGCTGTCCTGGACCTGAGGAGGAGACATTTCTTTTAAAAACCGAGGACATTTTGTCCGATCATCACTTTCTGTTTAAGGGTTCAGACCAAGCAGAAACCACCGGGTCTGAAGAGCCTTGAACCTGCGTTCTCTCTAGCAGCCAGCAGGGGGCGAATCCACTGGCTGCAGAAAGAAGTGTGATTGTATAGAAGTCTCTGTTTCAAGTCTTCTTCAACACAGTGTGATGTTCATTTAGTAAATTATGGTCCCATTTAGAGGCTTTAGGACGGGGCTACAAGCTGATTGACAGGTCCCTACCATGGCAACCTGTCAATCAGAATAGAGGCGACTCGTGTCTGCTGCTCTGTGTACATTTAACCAATCAGGAGTCAGCTGCTCCTTTTTTTCCAGTAAGTACGTTTTGTTTTAAGCCAGTTTGTCGTTAGCCAAAATTAGCACCCAGGCTAATATCACAGTTAACGTGAAGTAGGGATGCACCTTGCTAACGGGATGATGGAAAAAATCAAGACGGTGACGGATAAAATGCCAACTCGAGACTTCAAAACTGCAGTCCACAACGTCACGGCGGCTACGTCCACTTCTGTTACACAGGCTGTGGTTCAAACGTGGTTTCAGGTTTACTGTAAGAATCAGGTTCAGGATCAGGGGGACGGTCCTCACTAGTATAGAAGTACAAACGTATGTGTGACCTTGGAGGAGAAGTCCGGCGGCAACGTTTTGGATCCCGTCAGTCTTTTGATCAGGAACGTCTTCCAGTTGGTGAACCTGTGCAGGATGGCTGAGCGACACACACACACACACACACACACACACACACACACACACACACATTTAAATGGTGTTAGTTTAACAAACACCAAAAAATCCCTTTAATTGTTCATGATTAGATCCACCCTGCCACCCTTGGATCAATTTTCCAATATATAGACTGTATTTGTTGACTGTACTGTATATGTGTCCTGTCACTTACTCTGAGGGGGGACCAGAGGTTTTCCTCCAGCAGCACACCAGCCGACCGGGTGGATGTCCGGCACACACAGGTTCAACCAGAAATCTCTGGTGGAGTCGCTGTCGAAACCCTCGTACCGCAGCAAGGCCTTAAAACCTGCACACAGACGACATCATCATCATCATCAGCGATCCATCTCCATCAGCTCAAGTCAACTTTTATTAAAAACACACACACACACACACACACACACACACACAAAAACTGAACCACAACATGTATTTAAAAATAACAGAACTGACTGGGACAATTTTAAGAGGTCCGATCCATAAAGATGAAAAAGATTAATCAAAAGAGTTTAAAGAGAGACACGGAAAAGCTTAAAAAACATCTGCATGTTTATTAAAATGTGTTTTTTGTCAACATTTAAAGAAAACCGCAGCACAAAAACTCACAAATACGAGCTGGAGTCAGACTCTGGAGCTTTGAAAGTGAGTGAAACCCCAAAATTAAATCTAAAATCAACTTAAAGCAAAAGTGCAGAGGCTAAAATGGGGGTAATGTGATCTCTCGTTTGGGAAATTTATGGTCAAAAATATTACAATAGATGAAATATATAATATAATATACGTATGAAACCATGAAGACTAACAGACCGGCCAGTTTGATGATGCCAGCGATCCAGTACACCTTCATGGGCAGGCTGCTGTCGGTGTTCGGGACTTCCACCCGGACGCCTTCACTGATGTCGCCCCACGACTTCCCCATCGGGACCTCGACAACGACAAGATGACAAAAACAAGCAAGTTCAATAAAACAACACAGACGCGGAGTCACAAACCGACCTCACAGACAGACAGAGGTTAAAAGATGCATTTAGACAGAATCAGAATAAACAAAAAGAACAGCTTTTGAAACAAAATTGCGGGCCACATGCCTCCTTCACCACATTCTTTATGTTGCCTTTAAATTCATCAATCCTCAATACACGTCTCTAATTTTACATCTTTTATAAATTATTCCATGCCCAGGGTGCATAGTATGAAAATGCAGTTTTCTCCAGTCCTGTCAAAACCCAAGGTACATTAAAAACCAACCACTTGGAGCTGAGACAGAGAAGAGTACAGAGGTAAAGCTGGACGTTCACCTAGCATCGCTTTATACATAAAAATATTCCAGTGCTGTTGTCTGCAGGTGATCAGCGATGTCCAACCCACCAAATCATAAAGAATACAATGGTGAGTGAGGGACTTTGTAATAAAACGTAGTAGGGCTGGACTCGAATGTTCGACCGCTGGGTACACATTCGATTTTTAATTATGAGATTCGATTATTGAGGGGTTTTTTCGATCAATTTCGATCAATTTTAACCAATCACCACAACTTTTCTGCGAATTCAGCCTGTCATCGCCATTTCCCACAAAACGTTGTCTTACGTCAGCAAAGTCACTTCCTTGTTTAGAAGACGCAGCAGACTTGTGTGATACCGGCGTCTCACATTTACCTACAAAAATAACAGCAAAGGACCGTGAAGACCAGGATCCAGATCTTCTTTACCAAAGCGGGGAAACTGTTCTCGCCCACTGACAAACACTTTGCTTTTGCAAAACATACAGAGAGAATGTCAAAAACACATGGAGGACATCAGACGAGACGCTGAGACACAGGCTGCTGCCTGCCGGTCAGCTGCAACAAAGAATCAAGGTGAGCTGGTTTAAATATGCAGGGTCAGGGTCAGGCCCGCCAAGTCCTGCAGGGACTGTTTAATGATTCAACTACAATTCCAGTAAGTTAAAAACATCTATCTTTGCAGTTTTCACTTATTCCAAATATTTCACCGCAAAAGAAACGCCCAAGAACATCACAACTTTTGTTACAGTTTTTTATAAAAGCTGCCGTGAAATCACAAAAAATGCCCTCGAGATCCTGGGACTGAAAAAGCAGATGCAAATGAAAAGAAGAGCAATGATAGAACTGTATCCGCTGGCTGTCGTGTCGATCTGTGTGGGATGAAGTTTAATTGATTTAAAGGTTGTGAAAATGACAAAATGTTACATAAAAAAACAGCTTGTAGGAACAGGTGTGGACAGATGGTGTGTGTGATGCACTCACATGTTTGAAACAGCTGACCGGCGCTCCCATCACATCTCCGTCTCCAAGGTAACGACCCCAGTCAAACACCTCCACGGTTACTGCAGCATCACACAGAAACGCTGCGTCACCTTCAGGTCTCACGTCCACCGGATGGTTCTCCGTCTTGGTCTCATCGACAGGTATTTAGTGTCTGTACTTCTGTACTATTGCTTTTATTATAATTTTGTTTTTTTAATTTCCTTAAGGTATGAGCAGTGGAAACTCACTGACTTCAGTGGACACATGACCATAAAAACCCCACGATTAGCTTAGCCGTTTGTGTATAAAGCTAAGGCAGTTGTAGCTAGTTTTTGTTAAAACCAAGCGGGAATCTCCGGGTCTGAAAAGTGAAGCTTAAGTGCTTAAACCTGCGTCCTCCCCAGCAGCCAGCAGGGGGCGACTCCACTGGCTGCAGAAAGAAGTGTGATTGTTTAGAAGTCTCTGAGAAAATGTTTCTACTTGTCAGCTGATTTATTCCCTCAGTAAACACTTTCCTGATGAGTTTATGGTCTCAGTCGCTAGTTTCAAGTCTTCTTCAACACAGCATGATGCTCATTTAGTAAATTATGGTCCCATTTAGAGGATCAGAGACCAGGAAGCAGGGGAGGCTTTAGGGCGGGGCTACAAGGTGATTGAGTAGCTAGCATGGCAACCTGACAGTCAGGATAGAGGCGACACGTATTCGCTGCTCTGTGTACATTTAACCAGCGCCACTGAAAAAGGAGTCATTTTTCCAGTAAGTACATTTTGTTTCAAGCCCGTTTGTCGATAGCTAAAATTAGCATCCCAGCTAATATCACAGTTAATATGAATTACAGATGCACCTTGCTAACCAAGCTAGCTAGCTCCACCGTCTTGTCCAAATATGGTCACATTTGGTTCCTAAAACCAAGATGGCAACGGCCAAAATGCCAAACTGGAGGCTTCAAAACGGTGACTATGTCCACTTCTTTTATACCGTCTATGATTGAAATCTAAGTTGTTCAAGTCCAGTGAAAAACCTTAAATGGTACAAAAGTAAACAGCAAACTGCCAAAGTTTAAAACAATGTTTCCGTCACCAAAATGGACATTTTCAGATGTAAAATCAACAAGTAAATGAAGGAGTTGGACTTGAAGTGCTTATAATTACATACAAACTACAAACTTGGGGCTGTTCTAAAACATGTTAGATATAAATTTTGTTACATTTAGTTCATTTCAGCATTTATATACGCTGAATTTCAGTCTCCGGTGGCTCGAGCTGCTGCATCAAAATCTCACATCTGAGAAGCCATGAAACCATGAAATGTTTTTACATGAAAAGTTTCCAATTACTTTCATGGGGTGGTGATGGTGCATAGATAAGATGCCTGCCTTTGGTGTGGGAGACCTGGGTTCAATTCTCATTGTGTCCCTGAGCAAGACACTTAACCCCTCGTTGCTCCAGAGGCGTGCAACCTCTGACATGTATAGCAATTGTAAGTCGCTTTGGATAAAAACGTCAGCTAAATGAATAAATGTCAATCTTCTGTTCAACTAATTGATTCAGCTGTATTTTGTACATCTTCAAATATGTAGTAACTAAAGCTGTCAGATTAATGTTGTGCAGTAAAAAATACAGTGTTTCTCTCTGAGATGTACTTGTTGTTGTACTAAAGTCCAGTACTTGTGTAGTTTGTCCAGAGTGCATACAGGAAATGAAACTCACCGCTCTTCCTGACGGCACTCTGCTGGTTGGCCTGGTGCTGAGCGTAGGCAGCTAGTTTGCTCATCAGAGGCTGTTTCTGCAGAACCTTGGCCTTCTTAGTGGGAGGCTTCCCCTTTAAGAAACAGATACCAGTTAGCCTTTCAAAAAACAACACTGCACTGGATGTTTTGTTTGCTCGTCAACGGTTCGTCAACAGGTCTGACTGGTCACAGTGCGGGTTAGGACATTTTTTTTACATTTGTACAACAATATTCCATCCGTACATACTTAAAAAATCAATCTTTATGCAGATGACAGTATTTTATACTTGTATATATATTGCCAAGTCTATGTTTATTAAATACATCCTGGATATAAAAAAACTAACTTTCAGACAGTCAGAAAGTTTCACTTTCAGACCCAGAGGTTGCCACTTGTTTGAGGTTAGAGAAATAACTTTTGACAACTACTCGTCACGTAACTACAACTTTGGATCGGACAACGGTGCGCCAAGAGCTGCAAAACAACTGCAGGATGTTGAGTGTCTTTTTTATTTTATTGTTTTTTTTAATACTAATGTTTTTCCACTGGCCCAATCGGACCAGTGAGTTGCTAGTTCAACTTTTTATTTGCAAAAAGAAAAGATGGCCTGTGAGGCATCACACAGCTAAGCCAGTTCTCCCATCGGGACACAATTAATTCCCATTTATGGTTAACATCTGCCGTTATCTTCTCCATTTTGCAATAGTCCATTGTAATGTCCATCCATGCATTTAAAGTTCCATCTATGGCAGCAATATATTCCCAAAATAATTGTCTCTTTTCAGCAATCCATGAAGGCCAAAAACTAAGGTCTTACTCTCCAGTAGCACATGATATGGGAACATATATTGTAAGGCATTAAGTCTTTAATAACATGATAATATGTTAATGCATTTAGATTTCCAGTTTCTTCATCATAGTGGGATTTCCGAGAGGGTGTAATAAAATACTGTATCTGGCTACTCCAACAAAACTTCCTCCAATTTGCTGAACTGGTACACTGATACCTCCACAGTGTTGTCCATTCTTACTCAGATATAATTATCGCTAATTCCTCCCGCCATTTTGTTTCTGTTTAAATGCAGAATTAAAAGGTTGCAAAATTAATTTTTTACTACTATCACTGAAACAACTAACATTTAATCTACTGAAACATGAAGTATATCATTTAGCTAAGCATCAGTCTGTTGCACTGTGAGCTTTTCAGTCAACAACTCCTGATAGGACATCTAATCAAATCAATCAACTTTATTAATCCCACTAAGGGCAGTTAGTTAAGAGCATAACACAAAGCAAGGTAATTTGGTGAAACAATCGGTTTTCAGTCTGGTGTTGTGTACCTGCAGTCTGGCGAGGATGCTGGCCTTCTTGGAGTTGGAGGAGTAACTTCTGGAGCACGAGACGCTGCAGAAACGTTTGGTTTTACTGTAGAAAGCATCTCGGACACCCACCATCCCACACATCTCACAAGTCGCTGAGGAAAAAGTGAGAAACTGAGTCACAAAAAATAAAATAATAAATCTCTAGTGTTTTTCATATTTTTAACAAATGCTGAGAAAAGATTGCATCATGTTCAGGCTAAAGAACAGTCTGTAGAAATGTTTTTCTTTGTCAGATTAGTCGATCAGAGTCATCAATTCTTGCTGCCACTGGCTCAGAGACAGTTGGACCTCACTCCGATTGGTCAACTCCACCCAAAATGTAAAACTAAGAACTTCTAAACCTGCTCGTCTTTTTGTCTGGACCTCGGCTGTCGTCCCAAAATTACACAGAATAAAACCAGACACTGTTGCACTTATTTTAGTTCTTGAAAGCCCCACAGCTGTAGGGCTTGCAACATGTCAGTCAGTAATACTGTCTGACACGAAGCCCATTTGTTCCTCCTAAAGACATAAATCTTTAAAAACACCTTGCAGATATATATTGCAAAACTTAAATTAAAAGCAGAGTCCCTGTTAGACGCCTGTCCGTTTTACTGGCCTGGTGTGGCAACAAATAAACGCAGGTCTCAATTAAAGGCCTGGTCTGGTTTTCTTTGGATGTGTTTATACTTTTGTGAGTATGGACATCCTACACATCGTACGTCATCGTTCAGCTCATTTAATGGAAACAATGAGTACCCAAGCATAACTCATATTTACCAATAAAAGGCCTGTCCCAAATTTAGGCCAGGTGATTTCAGTGATTTAGGCAAATAAAAGCCCAGGCTGTTAATTCAGGGCACCCCCAGGTTTCTCCAAGTTAAATTTAAGACTTTTTAAGACCTTTTTAATACCACTGAGGATGAAATCTAAAAAGGCAATTACTTTTAAATCAAAACATACTCAAACATGACGTGCTCTCTTTCCTGCTGACAACCAATTAATAAAAAAAATGAATTTCCAATTTACCGAATGAAAATCTGTATGAATTTTAAGCCCAAGAAAATTATTATTTACAAAGTTACCTGAATTTAATAAATAATGTTGTTAAATCACGTTTTTATCACTTGAGGCTTTTGTCTAAAATTAAACCTGTTTTATATCGTAAGCACTTTGAGCATGTGATTCATGCTTTTATCGCCACTCGTCCAGGCTACTGTGATGCACTTTACATTGGCGTTAACCAAGTCTCTCCCTCACGCTTACAGTTAGTACAAAACTCGGCCGCTCGTCCTGGCTACACTGGCTCCCGGTCCATTTTAGAAAACATTTTAAGATCTTATTGTTTGTTTTTTAAATCACAGAATGGCTTGGCACCTCGCTACATCTCAGACCTCTTTACGAGCCTACACCCCCTCACGGTCACTTAAGTCTACTGATCAACTTCAGCTGGTCGCTCCAAAAACCAGGTTAAAAACCAGGAGCGACTTTTCAGTAGCAGCCCCTAAACAGTGGAATTAGTTACCTCCGCAGGTCAAATTTTTTAAATCCCGTCTTAATACTCACTTTTATTCCCTGGCTTTTAACCCAGCATGTTTTATGTTGTTTTAAGTGTTCTATGTGTTTTTATGTTTTATTTCTTGTCCAGTACTTTATAAAACCTTTGTTTTTTTAAATGCGCTATATAAATAAAATAGATTGGATTTAAAACACTTTATTATAATACTCACATTCATATTTAATACACAATAACTGTTTGGGGTGTGTTTGTACTCTGAAAACATAAAATGAATACAATATTTGTCACACTAAGAACTCTTATGATGTGAAACCAAAAATACAAAATAAATAGTGCAGTATGAGTTGGAACAATTAGTTACACCTTGGCTAGATAAGGTGATGTAATGTAATATGCCACTAGCTTCAGTGATTCATCCTGTTCTGGTTTTGCATCTAAAGGCTGCTTGAACTTCAGACACTTGCCCATAGTAGCACAGCTACGGCCTAAGGCCTTATTTTTGGAATGTTAAATGTAATACTTAGAGGACCCCGTGCGTACCCTGTAATTTAAGTTTCACGGTAGTTTCATGTTTCAGAAGGCTCAGTTATCTCCTAAAAAACAGCAGCTCGCTGTAGTTTCTATTAAAACAAACAGGAAATAATAGTGCATTTGTTGGGGACTACTTTCAGTGGCGAATGAGTCCACATGTGGTGCTCTAGTGGGTCAGAATAAACTACAGTGTGTGTGTGTTTGTGGTGATGTAGGAACACGTGACCCAGTGTAGCAGTGAGGCTCACTGATGGGTTTTAATAGTTTGGAGACGTCAGGCTGTGACTGACCCATGCCTGCCTTGCCATCAGGGTAGGTGTACACCTGTCCGTTAGTCTTGATGAGCGTCAGGGAGGAGGAGGAGGAGGTGGAGGTGAGTTGGGTCACTCCTCCCCCTCCTCCTCCTCCTCCTCCTCCTCCTAACTCTTCGTCCTCGCTGTCCTCTGGGCTGGAGGCTCCACTCCCCCCGCTGGACTCGGTGCTGCAGCTGCTCCGGTCCTCCTCCAGACCGTCCAGCATCCCGAAGGAGTCGCGGCGCTTCCTGGACGAACGCTCCACCTGAGGACGAGGGAGACACCGTCAGGGAGGAGTCAACACACAGACACACGCAGATATATTTATAGGTCCAATGTTGACGGTGTTTCTAATTTGTATTCAGACCCCAGTGATGTCACAACATCACTTAACGACTGACTCAAACAATTCCCTGGCTGCCTCTTCCCAAATCTTTACCTTCTACGACATATAACAGAACATCTTTGGGTTTTTGGGACCACTGGTCAGACAAAACAAGACATGACGCCAAAACGATTTACAATTGCTATGTACGTCAGAGAGGTTGCACGTCTCTGAAGCAACTAGGGGTTAAGTGTCTTACCGAGGGAACCATGTTGCAGGGGGAATCGAATCCACCATTATTTCTAGATGATAAATAAATATTACTTAATAATGAAAGCGGTCGTGGCACTTTAAAGCCACACCGACTTTAAAGTGTATTGTTTAAAGTCAGGTGGCGATGGGACAGTGGATAAGACATGCCTTTGGTGTATGAGACCAGGGAGAACCACCGCGGCATCCACCAGCAATAAAACAATAATGATAATTATCGCAATATAATTTTCCTCACTAACAATATAACAAATGTTCAATATATCGTCAATAAATTTAATTCATTAGAATCACGAACAAATTAGCACTTAATTTTTCTGTTAAGATTTTTATTTTGTTGAGGAAAAGGGACTGAAAGAAGAGTTACTAATATTTTTTGAAGTGATCCACTGGCATCAAGTGTTTCTCACGTTCTGACCATAAAGTTTAGTTTAACCTCACAATTGACCGTCTGGCCCTTCAATTTATATTCGGGGCAAAAATTTGCCTTTAAACTTGAAAGAAATAATAATTTGATATTTAAATTATAAGTCACTTTGAATGAAAGTGTCAGCTAAATAAGTAATTATCAATATTAAAATTGTATGATACCAGTAACCTTAAAGAGGTCATATTCTCCTTTTTGGCTTTTCCACTTTCCTTTGTTATGTTAGATTTATTTTTTGTGCATGTAATATGTTTACCTGTTCTGGTACAACTTCCAAAAGAAATTATGAACCTGAAAAAGAGCATAATATGACCTCTTTAAAGTGATACCGATACCAACAGAGTACTGTCTGAAAAGAAGTATTCAGATGCATGAAATGCCACGATCTGCCCCATCCTAATGATTTTTACACAAATACATTTTGGAAATTGTGTATTATTAAAAA